AAGAAAAAAAAAAAAAAATTTGTGTTATTTTCTTAAGAAACAAAAAAAGAAATTGTGTTGTTTTGCTGTGGTTGATTTTGCGATCTTCAGAGCTGAGATTGATTGACTAGTTTTATGTTGTTTTTTATTTCTCTATAGTTGATTTGAGCACGAGTGTTTCGTCCTTTTGAAATTAGGTATAGTGGAAGTTTAGTGTTCATTACTGGTAGGGTTTGAGTTTAATTTTTGGTTCATTCTTTGTTGCAACTAACGACATCCTTGTAAACTAGAAATTCAATAGGAATAACTGATTCCAGAACTTTGTTTTATTTCGTTAACTGCCTGAAACTTTAGATTTTTCAGCTATGTTGTTTGGACTCTTCAAAAATGTCAACAGGTGTGTGTCGGATCCTCCAAAAATAGTGTTGAAAAACCCGAACCAACTCGGTCATGTACACCCATATATGAAATGATGCTTGTTGCACTCACTCCAAACTACCACATTGCTCTAGTGTCATGGACACTACTTGTTATTTGTTGCAATGAAGATCCAATTGACTTGTAATACAAAACTTATGATTTGTTTTGATAATTTTTTAAAACTTATGGGGAATAAATCATATTTTTCTAAAAAAGTGAAAATATATTTCCCAAATACTATGGCCAAACACATGGTGAAATTTCACCCAAATTTTCATCCAAATAATATTTGCCAAAAATATTTGGAAATCTATGGCCAAACGCTAGCTTAATGTTCTGAATTGATGAATCCAACTTTTTTAGTTGTAATTTTTTTTTTTTACATTTTTCTTTTTTGGGCCAATTTTAGCTTGGTCTAAAACTTTGATTTTTATGATATTTTTGACATGTTAAATCTTATAAACTATACATTTTTTTCAATTTATTTTAATGCTTACACCGGGCATGGTAAAATTCATTAATATTAGAGAGAATATGTCAGCTCCGACCTTACATCCTGGACGTGGCCGATACTCAGAACCATTGTTGATCCCAAGCGTACCCTTGACCTAGCTTATACTATACTGAAAGCTATAATAGATATGCGGAAACATTTAAAATATGAGTATGCAATAACTTGATAAACAAACTCAAATACTTTATTTAAAGATCTGAATAATGCTGAAAGTTATTGTTTGTTAAACAATGCTGAAAGTTATAACTAGACTGACTTGTCTATGAAGCCTCTACATACAAGAGATAGGTTACTGTGACATGACTTCAGGCTACCTGAATACTCTGATACCATTTGTGACGGTTAACCCACTAGTGATAATGTTTGCTCTGGGTTTAGGCATGCACGACTTTAAAACGCATCACTATCTGGTAAGGTCTGCTTACTTATAAACCTAACATTTCTCATGTATTTTTGTTGATGTGAAACTTTTTATCTTAAACTGGAGTGTCACAGTCTAGTATGCAAATAATTATTATAGAAGTAAATATACCTTTCATGTAAATTTATGATATCGTATGATTTTTTACTACATGATATTTCTACATTTCTCTAGAATCTTCCAAAAGTGTCAACATCTTTCTCATGTAAGCTTGCTCATGACAAGAAGTGTGCCATATGGTGCTTATGTAGTATGATGACGTGACAATTATTCAAATTTTGGATGTCCATTTACCTAGTCACAAGTTGTAAATGGAATACAAAATTCAGTTTATAACTTTTAAAGGTTGTTTCTTTGTGCATTTGATCATATGCTTATTTAACATTTCTTATTCTATAGTTCCATTGGAATTGATGCTCTTAGAGGATAAGAATAGGAAATTAGTGAAATTGAATGTTATTTTCTTATGTAAAAAGTAAACGAAAAGAGAGATGAGATGATATGGTTACTAGCTTGATGATAAGATTATATGAAGCTAAACTTTCTTTCTGAAAAAATAAAAACAATAATATTCATAAAGTAAGAAATCTGATGTTAGATTTTAACATTTTAACTTATGACTCTAATACGAAAATAAGAGAAAAAGAAAGAAAAGGAAGCGGGAAAATATTGCATTTAGGATTTCAAAATTCAAAACAGGTCAAAGTAGAGGTTTTTTTTTTTTATAAAAATATCTAAAATCACCCATTGACCGTAATAAATATATTTATCTTTTTACCTTATTTGGCCAACCATTGTTACCAAATTTTTTTCAAAATATTCTTATTCATCTAAATTTATGTCATCTAATTCAGGGTACTTTTTTTTAATCATTTTTCCTAAATTTAATAACCTGATCTGATGACTAGCATTTACTAGATCTTATTGCTTTCAATATTGTAAACATATGATTTTTGTTCGTCTCTCATTTTTTTTAACGCTATTCTAGAATTAAATGGTTGAAATTAATCTTAGTATTTTTACTCTCTTTTTCATTTTAATAGGTTTAATTTGAAAATTGAAAATCACACAAAAAGAAGACGTTTCTTTAGAATATATATATTTTGAAAGAAGAAAAACTTTACAAAAATAATTTTCTTTCAAATTAGTATTTTTAATGATATTTTATTTTTCTTGGTTAAGATTAATTAACTAATTTACCATTAGTATTTTTTTTTGATATTTGCTTACTCTCTTTAAAAAATAAAATAAAATGAGAGCTAATAATTATTTGTCGCTTTCGTTTGAGGAAGATTCCATCTTTATCCATAGAACAATTTGTTTTGTCCCTTACTATACACTCACAATTTATACACCCTCATAGTGACCTGACACACCCTACACACAATCACATTTTTCATATACACCCTCATGATGACTTGACACACTATACACAATCACATTTTTTATATGCACCCCTATGATGACCTGACACACCCTACACACAATCACATTTTTCTTCATACGCTTGCGCGCGCGCACACACATTTTTCTCATACTATACACACTCACATTTTTCTTCTCAGACTTGAAACGGAGAAAAGGTCTCTTCACTATACAATATATTGTCCCTTGAGCACCTGAGATAGAGGAAGAGCACGATACATCACTGAAATTTTTTATTTAGCTCTCAATTGATCCTCTTCTCCACCATGTAAGTCCACCATGGTCATTAGAGCATTACCTAAGTCGTCCATGATCACTCATTTTCTTTCAATCGAGGTCCATCACTAATAAAATTCTATAAATCGAGCAATATGTCATGATTCTTTGTTACTAATAGGTTTAGTTGTTTCCTTTTTATGAGTTTTAAGATTTAACTCTAATTGAGTTGCATTGGAGTTTAGATTCTTTTGGGGATCTCATTAATCAATTCTTTTTAAAAGTATGATTATTCATTAGAATAAGATATGAAAAGAATTCCTCTAAAGAACATGGATTATCTAGATTATCTCATTATAATTATGCGATTTAGTTTATAGCCCTTTACAAACTTACCTTTTAAGTTTTATGTCTTTTTATTAGAGGTTTTCATTTTTTTTTTCACATAAGACATCTGAAAATGTTATTTTCAATTTATAAGTAAGTATAAAAGTTCATTTCCTCGTATTGACTGTTTAGATTACATCTATATATTCTGTATTTGATAGAAGATATTAACCAATGTTTGTGTTATTTATATATCAAAATCTTTTGATTATCATATATAAAAGGTAGGATTGGTGATGGAATCCCAAGTTTTGAAAATCAAGTGACACCTAAGAAATTTTGAGGAGGGGTACAAATTAAGGTTTAAAAAACTAGGGTTTCCCCTCTCTCTCTCCACCTCTTTCATATCTCCATAAATGATCATCAATCTAATCATAGAATATACCTATTTAAGCAAAAGATTGAAACTAAAGAAGGAAAAAGACATAAATTATTTAAGCATTGAAAAGAATTACAAAATCTGAGCAAATTGAAATACATTTACATTTGAATTTAATGAGTAAAACCTATTTCTTAGCATTATCAAGAAGAAGCAAAAGGACTCTTTCCTCCTCTTTGGTGAGACGACCCTTGAGTCTTGCAAGAGTCTTCATATCCCGAAGCCTCAGATTCTGCTTAGGAGGGGCCACTACTAGAGACGATGAATCCAATTGATGGGAATTTGGTGAATCAGTGTCAGGAGGGGCCAGTACTGGAGACGACGAACCCAATTGATGGGAATTTGGTGAATCAGTGTCAGGAGGGGCCAGTACTGGAGACGACGAACCCAATTGATGGGAATTTGGTGAATCAGTGTCAGGAGGGGCCAGTACTGGAGACGACGAACCCAATTGATGGGAATTTGGTGAATCAGTGTCAGGAGGGGCCAGTACTGGAGACGACGAACCCAATTGATGGGAATTTGGTGAATCAGTGTCAGGAGGGGCCAGTACTGGAGACGACGAACCCAATTGATGGGAATTTGGTGAATCAGTGTCAGGAGGGGCCAGTACTGGAGACGACGAACCCAATTGATGGGAATTTGGTGAATCAGTGTCAGGAGGGGCCAGTACTGGAGACGACGAACCCAATTGATGGGAATTTGGTGAATCGGTGTCAATTACTCTTGTGTGGGAATTTGGTGAATCAGTGTCAGGAGGGGCCAGTACTGGAGACGACGAACCCAATTGATGGGAATTTGGTGAATCGGTGTCAATTACTCTTGTAGAAAAGATTTGTTGTTGCTGGTAAGTTAATGGGTCAATAGTAGTAGAACTCTGTGGTTGCTGATAATCAGGAAATAGGACAAACACTTTTTTTTGGTGGGTTCCTTTAACCCAACCGTCTTTGTAGTGAATCTTTGTATGACCAGCTATGGCTTGGCTTGAAGAAAAGAGTTGATTACAAATGATGCATTGGTGCTTCCACACACCATGTTGCATATTTGGTTCTTGCATTTTTATTTATTCTAGGGAGGAGGGGGAGGGGGAGGGGGTGGAGAAAGAGGAGGAGGAGGCTTGCAAGGGAAATTGATATTGCAAGTAAATATTTGTTTGATGCCTTCAGTAGTAAATGACTCCTTATTTATACTACTCCCTAAGGACTAATATGAAAATAATTATAATTATATAAGTCTTTGTATATTTATAAATAAGTCCTCTTTCTAGAATATTCGACAAGTATAGAATATTTCAAGGATCTTTCATGCAAATCTATGATATTAAATGGTCTACCCCTTGAAATTTCTACATTTCTCTAGAATCTTCAACAAACGTCAACATCTTTCTCATTAGAGCTGTCAAAACAGGTCAACCCATCCCAACCCAAGTCTCTTAGGCTAAGGAATTTGAAGAGCTAGGGCGGATCGGCCCTTCATTTGAAAGGGCCTTGAAATGATCAACCCAGCCCAACCCTAGAAGGGTTCGAGTCTAGCCTCTTTTTTTTTTCTTTCATTCTCTTTTTTTTTTCATTCAATCTAAACTAAAGCATAAAATTTTGTCAATATAATAAACTTTTAACATGTCTAACAAAATTATATGAAAGTAACTAATAATTTCAATCATAACATACTTTATACTTATGATTAGTGGTGATTCAAATTGCAATTCAATTATTAGAGATATATAATAATTATTTTTTAAAGTTTACCATAGATTTGGTATCCAAAAAGGAAAAATAATAATCATAAATAAATATGAATAAAGCAAGAAATTTGATGTTAAATTTTAGCATTTTAATTTATGAGTCTAATTAGCAAATAAGAAAAAAAGAAAAGAAAAGAGGAAGCGGGAAAATGTTGCATTTGGGGTTTAAATTCAAAATAGGTCAAATATGAGTAAATTTTTCTTAAGAAATATCTAAAATTACACTTTGACCATGTTAATATATTTAATTTTTTTCCTTATTTATCCAAGCATTGTCACCATTTTATGGAAGTCTTGATCCTTTATATTTCGATAAACATTTATTTAGTTCCTCACAAATTCATTTCATTATTCTCTAGAAAAATCCTTTATGAAAAATACAGCCACCACCAATAAGAAGAATGACTCACTAACACATCATAAAGAGGACGATAGGTATTTTAATTTGTGCTAAGAGGTGTTTCTTGTTCGCCTCGAGTCAAGGGCTCCTTGAGCACCTACACAAACACATAACTTAGGGCACTTGGATGAGAGGTGTGTCATATAATAAGTTTTTCTTTCAATCTGCTTACCTTCCCACACTCTACCATTTCTTGGATTGTTGCAAGTCTATCGTCCCAATAGTCGTGTTATCCTATCAGAGACACTTTTATCATCCCTATTGAGGAATCTAGCGGTTAGGGGCGAGTTCTAGGCCATCCGCGATTGATTTTTAACCCATCATGGAATGCCTTGGTGCCTCCCTTGTCTCGTGGTCATCCCCGTATAGTCATTACAATCAACCACAACAATAGCATGTTATGGTACAAATGACTCAACTACTTCTTTGTAGTTGTATGTCATATATTCGCAATCAACATGTTGTTGCAGTTGATTTGGAATATATGACATGTAACCATAAGGAGGTGGTGTGTCACTTGTTTTGTCACATGCTGTTATGGTTAATTGTAACCAGAGGCGAATCTAGGATTTCAAGAAAGCGGGTGCACCATTGCTTTAGAATTTCATTTTTTTTTTAAAAAACGAGTGTTATTATTACTAAAAAAAATTGAAGTGAATTGTGGTTGGCTTGGGATTGAACTCAGGATCTTGGTGTTAAAATTTGGCTGTCAAACCAGTGAACCATCCAATAACTTTAAGAATGGGTTCAACAAGTGTTTATTTAATATGTTCTTTAATAATTATACACGTAATATATCGAGTTTAGTCGGAGGACCACGGGTTCGGATGACCCAAATTTTACACATAAATTCGCCACTGATTGTAACTATATATACCGCTGGAGACCATAAGGTTGCGGAGGGACCAAGGCATTTATAATGGATAAAAAATGACCGTGCACGACCAGGAGGTTTGCGAGCCCCCTCCACTATCGGATTCCTCGGGTGGGGATTATAAAATCATCTCTGGTTAACACTGTTGAGGTAGTCTTGAGATTACCTAAGTGACGGAAAAGTTCGGGGTGGTAATCAAATGTATAGAAAAACTTGTGATTTCACTACATTAAAAATGATCTTTAGAAACAATCAACACATTTTGAATCTGAATTACCTTTTCTTTAGAACACGTTTTGTTTTTTTGAATTAGACTCCGAACTTAAAATTATTGATTTTCGTAGAGGTTGATTTGAAGTTAAAATTTAATTTGTACAAAATGAATTTCAAAAGCTATTAAATCAGGTGTGGGTTTTTTGGTTTGGACAAGAAAGCAGTAGTTTTATTGAAGACGTGCGTTTTTTATACATATGGATTGGTAAAGCAAGCTTGAATAATTACTTTTGCAATAAATATGAGTTTTTTTTTTCTTTTTCCAAAATTTAAAATTAGGTGTGAAGTTTTAAATATTAGAACATTTGAAGTTGCAAACATACTTTTGAGGTGAAATTTTATAACTAATGTCAATAGCTTAATTGCTGTCAAAATATGATTTTTAGTGACAATTAACACTCTTTGTAAATGTATCTAATGCCAGTAAAGGCTTTATTTCTCTTTGTTAATGTGCATATTTATTACAACTAAAAATTATTTTTGTTATAATGTGGGGGCTTATCTGTAACACCACAAAAATTTCCAACCTAAGATCTAAACCATTCTTTGTGTGCATATAGACCCAAACCCAACGATTTCAAATTGTATAGAGGTGTTAAGGTCAATTTTTTAATGTGAGAAGAGATTAGTGGAGCTATCGATGTTATAAGGTCAGAAAAATACTTTAACATAAAGTTGAGTTGAAAACTTCTTGACCAATTAAGTGTGGTATAAGTTTTTACTTGGATCAACTTCAAATAGTTATATCTCCTAGAATTTGAAGAAATACGTTGCCTATAACCTATCCAATCAAAGGTCTTAAGACTTTCTTTCCAATGTCACCAACCGCTCATTAATTCAGTTTTGGAGTACAAAGTTATTACAATTTAACCAAAAAATAGAGAGCTTACTAACTTATTGGAAACATGTGTGATTCACAATTCATATTGTGTATTTCGATGAGACTATCAATTTAAGTTCGTTTTCATCCGAAATTTTCATTATTTTGATATCCTTTGAAGCCTAGGGTTGATATCCTCTCTTCTCTTCATCCGCCATCTCTAAGGTAAGTTTCTCTAATGAAATTCTAAGTATTTCAATCCTCATTATTAATGAAAATTCTACACCATAACCTTCGAATTTTCAAGAAAAATTCAATCGAGATTCCAAGAACTGATTTCTTTAATTTTAATCTTATCTCTCTCAGCTAGTATACCCCACATCTTCATCTCTGCCACTTTCATTTTCTGAGTGTGTGAGTTCTTAATTGACCCACACTCTACCTCATGCATACAATATATATATAGCTGGTCTAATGGCCACCACTTCTTAGGAGAAAAAAAAAAGAAAACTTCCCTAATTTTTTATTATGCTATGAGAAGTATGAGCCAACTGAGTATCCAACAGAAGGACACGTTAGATAATCAATTTATAAAGGATTAGGACTTCTAATAAAATGAAAATAGTTATATGACTTGTTTCATTCTATCGTCATTTCTTAAGCAAAAGATTAAAGAATTTTAAAATAAAAGTTTTGTTATTTAGCTATTATAATCCAATAAGATTATATTGAAAGCAACAAAATTTTGTAAATCCTAGTCATCGAATAAGGTTAGTAAATCTAAGGGAAAATGGTAAAGAAATTCTCCTGAAAATGACATAGTTCTTTATTAATAATATTTTTTTAAATTCAAACTTATAAGAATAATTACTCACAAGTCACAAATGGGATAAAAATAAATAAATAAATTTATAACTTTTTAAGGTTATTTTTTCATGCATTTGGTCATGTTGTTGAGATTTCAGTGATACCTTCAATAGAGAAATGCAGAAATGAAGACGAAGGTAAAGAGAACCCTAGGAATCGTTGAAGTGTTTCAAAGCACACGAGTGGTACTACCAAGGAAAAATGGGCCTAAGCGAATTGGGCCTCAGGCACTCTTTGACAACAGAAGAAATTATAGGCCCAAAGAATGAAGTCAATATATTTTCAGCCTGTGTATATATTTTGAGATACCTAGAATTATACCATTTAGATTACCTATTTTACCCTTTCTCAGATATTGTAAAGAATAAAAGTTTGTTAGAGACTTAGCAAATGGGAGCAGGACACCTGTATAGTTTGTTAGGAATAGAATGTTCTTTGGTTTTCCTTGTAGCTGTATATATACATGTTTAGAGGAAGAGATCAATATACAGAAAATTCCCAAATCATTCTCTTTACTGTTTCTTGTAAATCCTACATGGTATCAGAGCAGTAATTAATCACATTAATCAAATACAATCATGACTAACGAAGCTATCAATGATTCTGAATCAACACCTGCAACTCTGGTAGCAGGATCACCCTAAGGAACTAAGATTGATATCAATCATGCCTTCTATCTGCACTCTCCAGACTCTCCTGGAATGGGGTTGGTAGGTAGCACTTTTGATGGAAAAGGTTATCAGGGATGGAAGAGATCAGTGCTCATACCACTCTCTGCAAAAAACAAACTGAGCTTCATCACTGGAACACATCCTTCACCAGCCCTAACATCACCAGATCTGCAGCCTTGGAGCAGGTGTAATGACATGGTAACATCTTGGCTTCTTAATTCCCTTTCAAAAGAAATAGCAGATAGTGTTATATACTCTAGAACTGCTAAAGAACTCTGGATGAGTTTAGAGCACAAATTTGGTCAATCAAATAGTGCTAAACTTTTTCACCTGAAAAAGGAACTTAACAGGTTGGTACAAGGAACTAACAATATTGTAGGATACTTTACTAAACTCAAGAGGCTTTGGGATGAATTATCTTCTCTGGATTCACAAGATAAGTGTACTTGTGTGTGCATCTGTGAGGGAAAACAGAAATTGGAGAAATTTATGGAGGATGAGATGCTTATACAGTTTCTTATGGGTCTTAATGGCACATATGCTCAAGCTAGGGGTAATATTCTTATGATGAATTCACTACCTAACATAAATGTTGCCTATTCCTTGATCTTACAGGATGAAAACCAAAAGGAAATATACATGAGTCGTATCATTCCTACTGATTCTTCATCTTTCATGGTGAATAACAATGTAAATCAAAACAAAAATGGTATGCAGGTTCAGAAATTCAGCCCAGGTGAATCAGGATCAGGATCTGGGCCTAAGCCAAACATGGGATATCCTAGGATGAACAACTACCAACAGGGTCAGCAGGCTCCTAGATACCCAAGACAGAATGCAAGGTTCAAAGGAAAGAAGAAATACAATCCTAATGTTTCTTGTGCTCATTGTGGTAAAACAAGTCATGTCATAGAAGATTGCTACAGATTGATAGGTTTTCCTGAGGATTTCAATTTCACAAATGACAAGACCTACTCAATACCAGTGAGAGGAAATGGAGCTATCATGGAGGAAGAAGATCCTAACTACTACATGGATCAAGCCAGTCATCACATGAGCAAGGAACAATTTGTTCAGTTCATTCAAGTAATGAAGCAGATGAAATTGCCAGAATCAACAACAAAAATTGCAGGACCTGAGATCAATGCCAATGCAGTGGCTGGCACTATTTTGAAGTATTTTGGGACTTGTTTTTCTGGTTTTGATTTTGGAACTTGGATCATAGATTCAGGGGCTTCTGAGCATATGTGTTTCAATTCTGAGTCATTTATTTCTCTCTCTACTCTTAGAATTCCAATCAACATAAACCTTCCTAATTCTCATTTCATAACTGTTACTCACATAGGGAGTGTTCAAATATTCTCTGACTTGACAATACATAATGTCTTGTATGTGCCAAGTTTCAAATATAATCTCTTATCTGTTCATAAATTCAGTAGTCAATTCAATTATACAGTTCTTTTCAATTCTAACAACTGTATGTTGTAGGGCCATTCAATGAAGAGGCCTCAAGCTTTTGGTGAAGCAAGAAAAGGTCTCTATTTGTTGCAGCCCTTTCCTAAGAAGCCTAGTGCAAGTCAAAATACTTCTTTAGAGTCTAAAATCTGTAGTAAAATCAGTAGTTCTATTTGTTTTTCTGATTCAGTTTCAGTTACTTTTCCAGTTTGTTCAAATGTTTCTTCTAATGTAAGGTTATGACATGTAAGATTAGGGCATTTACCCTATGCATCAATGAAGAATATCAGTTTCTTATCTGTTCCTTAACTTTCTGATTGTCATTGTGATGTTTGCCCTAAAGCTAGACAGTCTAGATTACCTTTCTCTACTAGCCAAATCCCTACCAAGAGTTGTTTTGAACTTATTCACATTGACACTTGGGTACCATACAAAGTGTCTACTTATAACAATTATAGGTATTTTTTTACTATAGTGGATGGTTACAACAGAGCCACATGGACTTATCTGTTAAGTACTAAATGCAATGCTTTCTCTGTGATCCAAAGTTTATTATGCATGGTAGAAAGACAATTTAATACTAAAGTAAAGGTGATTAGATATGATAATGCCATAGAGTTAGGGAAAAGTGAAGTAGCCTCAAAGTTTTTGTGCTCACAAGGAATTATTCATCAGACCTCTTGTGTGGCTACCCCACAATAGAATGGGGTAGATGAAAGAAAACACAGACATTTACTGGAAATTGCAAGGGCCTTACTGTTTCATTCGAATGTACCCCTACTCTACTAGGGTGAATGTATTTTGACAACTACTTTCTTGATAAACAGGTTACCACCTAGGGCTATTAAAGGAAAACCACCTTATGAAGTTTTGTTTGGCAAACCACCTTCTTATCAATTTCTCAGATGCTTTGGTTGTTTGTGTTATGCAAATACTCTAGTCCATGGAAGAAATAAGTTTGATCCAAGAGCTCACAAATGTGTATTTATAGGTTATCCTAGCAACCAAAGGGGTACAAATTGCTTGATTTAGACTCTAAGAAGGTTTTTGTTTCTAGAGATGTTCATTTTGTTGAAAATCATTTTCCTTTTTCACACTTTTCCCCAGATAATTCTATTTTTCTCACTCCTAACCCTATTGACTACTTTTCTCTTCCACCACAGGATCATTCAGAACCTGTGGACTCTAACTCTCCTGACAGTCCTCATTCTAATCCCTTATCAAATATTCCTATTCATTCACCTGTTTTGGACATTCAACCAGAACAGTCACCTCTTCCTTCTCAACCTATTGTGTCACAATCACCAGTTCCTGTTAGAAGATCTAGCAGAACTACTATTGGGACTTTGCCATCACATCTCCAGGATTATATCTATAACACAATTTATCTTATTAATGCTACAGATTCATGTTTTGCTTCTCGTAGTAGTCCTTCTAGTTTTTCTTTTGCCAACCTCTCCAAATCCAGTCAAATAACTCTCCAATCCACTTCCACCATTTCAGAACCTAACAATTTTCATGAAGCTTGCAGACATGCAGGTTGGCAGAAGGCCATGCAAGATGAAATTGATGCTTTACAATCTAATCATACTTGGGATGTTGTAGTTCTGCCAAAGGGAAGAAAAGCTTTACCCTGTAAATGGGTTTACAAGGTTAAGCAACATGCAAATAGGACAATTGAGAGATTAAAGACCAGGTTGGTTGTCAGAGGGGACATACAGAAAGAGAGGATTGATTATAATGAAACTTTTTCCCCGGTGGTAAAAATGACAACAATTAGGTGCCTACTAGCCATTGCTACTAAGAAAGTTTGGGATGTCTATCAATTTGATGTCAACAATGCTTTCTTGCAAGGAGATTTGCAAAAGGAAGTATACATGAAATTTTCTAATGGTTTAGATCCTCCTCAACCTAATATGATGTGTAAATTGAGAAAATTACTTTATGGGCTTAAGCAAGCCTCTAGACAGTGGTATGCACGATTAGCAGGAGCTTTGAATTTCAAAGGATATGTGGCTTCCCTAAATGATTATTCCCTATTTTTTAGACAATCAGGTGTATTCATTTCAATTGTTGCTGTCTATGTTGATGACATTTTGATCACAGGAAATGCTACTGATGAAATCCAAGTCTTAAATTATTATTTTTGCATAAAGAGTTCAAAATAAAAAATCTAGGGCTTCTACATTATTTTCTGGGTATGGAAGTGCTAAGGGAGAAACAAGGCATGATCGTCAGTCAGCGGAAATATACATTCGAGCTTTTGGAGGAGTTTGATGTTTCTCATATCTCTGCAGTATCTTCTTCCCTGGATCCTTCCATCAATCTCTCTGCAGATTCAGGAACACCCTTGTCAGATCCTACCATCTTTCGACATCTTATTGGCAAGATCAATTACTTAACTCACACTAGACCTGACCTATCCTTTGCCGTTTTAACACTCAGTCAGTTTATGCTTAGTCCTACAACTGATCACTACAATGCTGGTTTACGAGTGATTCGTTACCTGAAGAAGTTTCCAAGATATGGCCTCTTCTTTACTGCTTCACCTTGTTTATCCTTGGCCACTTTCTGTGATGCTGACTGGGCGTCTTGTCGTGACTCTCGACGGTCTGTCAGTGGTTTCTTAATCAGCTTAGGTGGATCTCCTATCTCCTGAAAATCGAAGAAACAAAACTCAGTCTCTATATCATCTGTCGAGGCAGAATATCGTTCAATGAGAAGGTTGGTTGCAGAACTAACTTGGCTTACCCGTTTACTCACCGATCTATCCATCCCTCCGCCTTTGCCGGTACCTATTCACTCGGATAGCTAAGCTGCTATCCATATCACTCGTAACCCTGTGTTTCACGAGCGTACGAAACATGTGGAGCTTGACTGCCACTTTATTCGTCAGCAGTACTTCACCGGTCTAATTTCTTTGTCTTTCGTTCCTTCCAACGACCAGTTAGCTGACATATTTACTAAGCCCCTTGCCGGACCTTCGCACCTTCACAATATGCGTAAGTTGGGGCTCACCTTGTTCCCCTCCAACTTGAGAGGGGATGTTGAGATTTCAATGATACCTTCAATAGAGAAATGTAGAAATGAAGACGAAGGTAAAGAGAACCCTAGGAATCGTCGAAGTGTTTCAAAGCACACGAGTGGTACTACCAAGGAAAAATGGGACTATGCTAATTGGGCCTCAAACACTCTTTGACAACAGAAGAAATTATAGGCCCAAAGAATGAAGTCGATATATTTTCAGCCCGTGTATATATTTTGGGATACCTAGAATTATACCACTTAGATTACCTATTTTACCCTTTCTCAGATATTGTAAAGAATAAAAGTTTGTTATAGACTTAACAAATGGGAGCAGGACACCTGTATAGTCTGTTAGGAATATAATGTTCTTTGGTTTTCCTTGTAGCTGTATATATACATGTTTAGAGGAAGAGATCAATATACAGAAAATTCCCAAATCATTCTCTTTACTGTTTCTTGTAAATCCTACACATGTACTTATTTAGCAATGATTGTTACGTGCTCTTAGGGGATCAATATAAGAAATTAGTAAATTTCAATGCTATGTTCCGATGGTAAAAAAAAAAAGACGATGATATGATTACTAGCTTGATGTACAAATTAAATAAGACTAAATTTCCTGTAACACCCCAGAAATTTTTTGAGCTAAGAGTTGAACCATCCTTCGTTGTGAGTAGGATTTTATCGAGGAATTAAAATTTCTTAAGTGTTAAGTTCACTAGATGTAGCACCTTGAGTTCCAAAAAGAATTAAATTGGAAATAACAAAATTTGAAATTTTGCAAGTTAAGCTAAGTATGAGTTTTGGGCCGACTTCAAATGACCATAACTAATATATTAGGATGATTTAGGTGTGCTACCAGATACCATAGGGAAGATATTTGAATTATCTTTCCAACGCCGTCGAGTTTGCTAAGTTTCGAGGTCGGATGAGTGAGATATGACCTTTTGAAGTTAGGCTGTCCAGTTAAGGAAAGTTAGCCGAAAATAGTAAGGGGTATTTTGGTCTTTTCCTTACCAATCAGATTTAATTTGTTTTTAGTACGGTTTTTAGGGTCTAATCCTATTATGTTCAGTTTTATAATCCTAAAATACGCCTAGGGTTTTAGTTGAGAGTTCAAGAAGAGAAAAGAAGAAGAGAAAATAGGAGAAAAGAGAAAGGATCGAAGCGTTCGTCGAAATTCTTGAGAGTTGTTGCGGCTTGTCGCCATGGGTTTGATCCCTAAGAGTTATGTAAGCTTCCATAGTATTGGGTTTGTTCACCCACACGCCAAACATATTATTTTCAGCCAAGTTTCATTCTCAAAAAGTTGAAGGATTTAAGTTCTTGATAGGTGTTCTTGAAGTTCTTTCTAAATCTTGTTGTGTTGGGTTTTTGATGATTTCTTAAGATCAAAGTGAGTGTTTTAAGGGATGTATTGAGTAGATTAGAGATTACTTATGTTAAGTAATTGATTCTAAGTGTTTGGGGAAGAAACCGTTAGATTCTAGGAGAGTTAGGGTGAGAAAACGAGCAAAGAAATTCGTCGCATTTTCTGGGTTGGGGCCTGGCGTGTCGCGCCAGCCAGAGATCCCCAAAGTAGGCTCTGAATTTTAGGGGCTGGCGCGGAGCTCCGCGCCAAACATAGCCCCAGGGTCGCCTGCCCCATCCAGCTTGCAATCGGTTGCTCTGTTTGAGTTCATTCGAAAGGTACCTTCACTCTTTTTCGATTCTAATTACTTCTAAACACCTAAAATCATTCCTAACATGATCATCAAATTCAAGGTAGAGTTGAGAGTTAAGTTTTGTGAATTCTTTCGAACATTCTAAGAAAGTCCATTTGAGTCATTTTGTGGAGTCTTCTACAACTTCTAGTAACTTGTTTCAAGACTCGAGTAAGTGAGCATGAAAGTGAGGAGAATGTATTCATTAGTCTATTTTTTCATCAAGAGATCTTTCATATCATGAACCATAACTCTTGAATTCATAATTCACATTCAAGTCGAGAGTTAAAAGTAGAGTTCAAGAAAGCCTTTGAGTTCAATTGTGAATCCTTTGAGATCAGCTATCGATTTGAACTAAATTTTGAGAAAGTAAGTCAGAGAATAAGAAGAGTCGTATACATGAGTTCCATATACTTATGTAGACCATTGAGTCGAGTTGTTTCATGCCCATAATTTCGCATGAACTTCGTACGTTGAGCATCTTTCAGAAAAGTGGTATCTTCAAGTTCTAAGCCTTTAAGTGTTGAGTTCCTAATCCCTTTTGAGAAGTATCTTTGAGTCATTGAGTTGAGTAGTTCATGCTCATAATTCTGCATGAACTCTGAGTTGAGCATTCTTGAAATGAGTAGTATCATTGAAGTTCTTGAGTTCCAAGTATTTGAGTTCTATCTATGGTTATTGAAAACCTTGCATTGAGTCGTTCATGTCCATAATTCGGCATGAACCATATTTTAAGAAGTCTTTTACAAACATTTTAACTTTGTTTTAAGACTTAAGCTTTGAGTTCAGTAAAGAGTAAAGTTGAAGTTCTTTTCTTCAAAAAGTATATGGGGACTAAGTATTCCCAAAGAGATTTAAAAATGTTTTCACATTTAAATAAGAATGAAAACTGAGATTTTCAAAGAGCCTTCGGGCTAGTTTTCAGAAAAGAGTAATCGCTTTCTAAATGAAGCAAGAGGGGAAACTTTGATTTCCAAGATAGCCTTTGAGCTAAGTGTTTGAGCACTAATATCAAATCACAGAAGAAGTATGTTTTTAAACTTAAAGAGCTAATATAATGTAATATTTTTGGGAGTAGTATTGAGCATTGATGGGGAAAAAATCATACAGCTATCAGCCCCCTTAAACCATGTAGCCATCATGGGTAGAAAAGGGTCATACATTTTAGATGTCTTTTATGATATTATGATTATGAGTTAGCATAATGTTTTAAACAGTTTTCCTTTTCTTTATATTGCACTTGTTTTAAACTGTTTTATATTGAAATGAGTTGAGTTATGTTGAGTTGAGTTAAGCCAGGTAAGTTCTTCAGTTTCTTTCAGATTCTTTCAAGCTTGTGTTTATGCTTTAGAATTTCCCTTACATGCTCGTACATTCCACGTACTGAGCCATTTGGCCTGCATTTTCTCATGATGCAGACACAGGAATTCAGGAGCATCAACATCATCTTCGTTGATACATCCGAGAGTTTGAGTTAGCTATGGTGAGCCTCCTTGTTTCCAGAGGATTTCATTTATTTTTCAGATTAGTCAGGATGTCGTGGGTCTTGTCCCGACTTCCATCTTTATCAGTTAGAGGCTTCATAGATAGTCAGTATAGTTGAGAAGTCTGTATTATTCATTTACTTTATTAAATATTTTAAAGACTTAAGTTGCCTATTTTATGGCGAGTTGAGTATGTTATTTTTATTCAGAGTTAGTATTTTAAGTTAAAACTTTGTATTTGAGTTATTGATTTTGTTCAGTTTTTAAGCTTTGTATGCTTGAATTAGTTTTCCGCTCGTAGTTAGCCAGGATGAGGGTTCACTTGGGGACCATCAATGGTTCTTGAGTGCCGGCCACGTTCAGGGTGTAGACTCGGGTCGTGACTCTTCCTTTTAGAAAAAGAAAAATAATAATCCTAAATGTAAATAAAGCAACAATCTGATGTCATATTCTTATCTTTGAATTAATGAGTCTAATAAACAAAGGAGGAAAGAAATTCATTAACAAAAAATGCAGCAACAACCACCAATAAGTGGAATGGCTCATCGAGGGATCTACAAAGTCTTACTGGTATTTGGTTTTATAGATGCAGAACATGTCGTGAGGTTTTCACCTTGAGCCAAGGGTTTGCTAAGCACCAATCTAATCAGATGTCTCATGACACTTGGATAAGAGGTGCGCCCCATCAAAAGTTTTATATCCCTCCACTGACCTCCTCGCCTTGTACCATCAGCTGGACAAACCCAAGTACCCCGATAATGTTATCAAGACCAGGACGCTTTACCATCCCTGTTAGGGGAATCTGATGGTGTAGGAGCCTCACAGATTTCCCGGCCACCCGTGGTTAATTTTTTACCAATTACAGTAGGTCATGCTATTGCAGGTGCCCGACCCGTGTTTCTGCACGTGTCATTCCTCTTATTATTCAAGCGACAGAGTTGTTTGTTCGTTATCTTAGTTAAACATAATAGCAATTTCCCTTAATTCTTTCTTTAATAAAACAAATTACTATTTATAGATGCTTAATAATTTTTTATTCAATTTATAAGAATAACTTGTCACAAGTTGTAAATGGGATACGGAATTTAGTTTATAACTTTTTAAGGTTGTTCATGTGTGCATTTGTTCATATGCTTATTTGACATTTTTTATTCTATAGTTCCATTTGAATTGATGCTCTTACAGGATAAGAATATGAAATTAATGACATTGAATGTTATTTTACTATGTAAAAACAAGAAAAGAGAGAAGATAATATGGTTACTAGCTTGTTGTAAAGATAATATAAAACTAAAATTCCTTTCAGAAAAAGAAACATAATAATATGACTAAAGCAAGAATTCTGATGTTAGATTCTAACATTTTAGTTTATGACTCTAATATGAAAATAAGAAAAGAAAAAAGGAAGAGGGAAAATATTGCATTTAGGGTTTCAAAATTCAAAA